ATCCGTAAGCCTGCTCAAAACAGAAAGCTCTTTTCAAAAAGCAGCTGAAATCAATATGTGAGCTATAGGCCTTTGTTTGTGCACAGTATAATAAGCTTGTATCTCACATAAACATATCTAGACAAATAAAGATTATTATATTAAAAGTATTTGCACTTAAAGTATTAAGTTCTTAAGTAGCCTACACTATTTGATTTGTGTTTAAATGTGAAGGGGGTTTTGTCATACCCACATGGTGTTAGGTCTAGGTTTAATGTTCATTTTAAACCTATGTGAGTATGTTTATATTGTACGTGTATGCTACAGTATTCTCTAAACCAGGGCTGCTGAAAGTGTGGTTCACGGCTCAAAGCTGGCCTGAGAGGACGTTTGAAATTTGGCCTGCCAGAAAATTAATTTAACCCTACCCCCCTCACCCAATGAGAGAATACCTATTTTATACATTTTATTATATTATTATTTTTTATATTTCCTGTTTAATATATTTTTGAATTCTATAAATAAAATGTAGTGTAACTTGGTTTGAAACGTCTTTGTTTCTATATTGTTGGTCATTTTGGCTCTCAGCCCACCACAAACACTGCACTTTGGACCCCCACGACAAAAAGTTTGGCTGCCTGCTCCAAACACACACTTCACTTTAGCAGAATGCAGCAAACTTGAAACGTTTAAAGGTAGAATTTTAAATAAGCAACGAATTTCTGTTTCATTTTATATGTAAATTACAGTAAAATCATAATTTTTAACTGTCCCCTGTTCCAGCTTGTCAAATGCATTGTGGGAAGGTAGTTTAAAAGTGACACCTAAATAACTACCTCAATCTGAGAATAAAACTACAATTCCTCATGCACGTAGCGTCGAAAGCGTCTTCCAGGTCGTAGTGCATTGTGTGAATTGTATTTCCACATTCTATTTCACGCAGCGGAATGGGAAGGGTTCAAAACTACAACGCCCACAATTCCAAGCGACAGTGGTAAACAGAGATCTGTCAAACAACATCGACGCCATTTTGATAATAGCCTTAAAATGGCAGAAAAAGCGGGGAAGAGTCTGAGCTTGGCCGAGGATTTGAGCTCTAAACGCGAAGGGAAACGCTCCCTCGTCGTTTCGGTTTAACTGAGGATTTGAGAGAGACTGAGCAGGTCGCATGCGGGTAAGATGGATATAACGACTGCGGTGTTTAACGCGGCGAGAGACGGCAAACTGAAACTTATCCAGAAGTTGCTGAGCAACAAAACTCCCGAGGAGTTGGAGGCACTGGCCGAGGAGAAGACCCAGGGAGGTACGCCGCTCCTCATAGCCTCCAGGTACGGACACCTGGAAGTGGTGGACTACTTACTCGAGCACTGTAAGGCTAACGTGGAGCTCGGGGGCTCCGTTAATTTTGATGGCGAGACCATTGAGGGCGCCCCTCCGCTGTGGGCGGCTTCTGCCGCGGGGCACCTGCCCGTCGTCAAAACTCTGCTTAAACACGGTGCCTCGGTGAATAACACGACGCTGACAAACTCTACCCCGCTGAGGGCTGCCTGCTTCGACGGGCACCTTGAGATCGTGCGCTACCTCGTTGAACATGAGGCAGACATGGAGGTAGCCAACCGTCACGGCCACACTTGCCTGATGATCTCGTGTTATAAGGGCCACAGGGAGATCGCCAAGTTTCTCCTGGAGCGAGGGGCCGACGTGAACCGCAAGAGCGTGAAGGGCAATACAGCCTTGCACGACTGCGCTGAGTCAGGTAGCTTGGAGATCATGAAGATGTTGCTTAAGTGTAATGCTCGCATGGAAAAAGATGGCTATGGGATGACCCCGCTGCTGGCTGCCAGCGTCACCGGCCACACCAACATAGTGGAGTACTTGGTCCACCAACCTAGAGCCTCCAGAGAGGAGCGCGTTGATGCCCTGGAACTGTTGGGGGCCACCTTCGTGGACAAGAAGCGCGATCTTCTGGGCGCCATGCGCTACTGGAGGAGGGCCATGGAGCTCCGGCAAGCTGGGGACAGAGTGAGCTTCCTGGCCAAACCTCCTCCAGGGCCCCCTGTTCCAGCGTACGACTGCGCCAGAGAAGTGAGCACGGCAGAGGAGCTGGAGGCCCTCATCACAGACCCGGACGAGATGAGGATGCAGGCGTTGCTCGTCAGGGAGCGCATCCTGGGGCCTTCGCACCCGGACACCTCCTACTACATCCGCTACAGGGGCGCCGTCTACGCGGACTCGGGCAACTTCGAGCGCTGCATCAGCCTGTGGAAGTATGCGCTGGACATGCAGCAGAGCAACCTGGACCCGCTGAGCCCCATGACTGCTAGCAGCTTCCTGTCTTTTGCCGAGCTCTTCTCCTTCGTGCTCCAGGACCGTGCCAAGGGCGCACTGGCAACGCGGGTCACCTTCCAGGACCTCATGGCCGTCCTGACCAAGGGTGTGCGGGAGGTTGAGCGGGCTATAGCACAGCGGGACAGCCCTCCAGAGGCACCGCAGTTCACCAAAGCCCTGTCCATCATCCTTCACCTCATCTTTCTGCTGGAGAAGCTTGAGTGCAACCCGACACAGGAGCATCATAAGAAGCAGACTGTCTACCGGCTGCTCAAGCTGAACCCAAGAGGCAGGAACGGATTCACACCGCTCCACATGGCTGTGGACAAGGACACCACCTCGGTGGGGCGCTACCCGGTGGGGCGGTTCCCGTCTCTGGCCGTGGCCAGTCTGCTTCTGGAGTGCGGCGCTGATGTGGATTCGCGTGACTGCGAAAACAACACTCCTCTGCACGTTGCGGCTGCTAATGGCTGCCCGGAGATCATGGCACTGCTGATCAGCTCGGGGGCGCACTTCGACATCACCAACTCAAGGCGCAAGACGGCCTACGAGCTGCTGGAGGAGCAGGGCGGCGGGAGGCACGCGCTGCACCCTCTAAACTATGTCACTCTGCAGTGCTTGGCTGCCCGAGCTGTGGAGCGACACAGACTGCCCTACAAGGGGCTCATCTCTGAGGAAATGGAGGCCTTCATCGAGCTGCACTGACCTCATCTCAGCCCCTCATCTTCCTTTCTTTTGACCCCTATATAAGTCAGATCCGAACATCACCTCCCTCCCACCTTATGTTGTCCCTCTTTGTTTCCCTCCTCTACTTTTCACTGCAGACTCAACCTGAAGCCTCCACCTACCAGGCCTCTCACGTTGCTCAGGCTTTAGTCTAAATCACAGCAATAATCCCAGGCTACTAATCGCAACTAAGGAAAGATTTGTACTTTCAGCGGCTGATGTTGTGCGTGTGTGTGCGCGTATGAGACTTTTCCCCACTATGCCTGCCTGCCTGCCTGCCTGCCTGCCTCCCTGCCTTTAAGGGCTTGTTGAAAAGAATAAAGAACTGAGGACACTTTGATGTGCCAAGATACTTTTTGCAGTTCGCCTGCGGGGAAAAGACTTTTGGGTTTAATTTAGGCTTCATCTGTAGACTCCCTCTTTTTTCCTCCCCCTTTATGAGGAGGATATGAACAATTTTTTGCCTGTTTGTATTCGTTTATAATATTTGAATGGCTCATTTTTAAGACGAGGTCAGAAGCTGCATCGTTTATTAATACAAAATACACTTTGCTGATTGACTGCATGGGCGCAAGAGAATGAAGAGTGGCATGGATAGTACGTTTTTGTGCGCTCTCTTTATAATGCAAGAAGATGATGCCCTATAGAGTAAGCATTGCTGAAGTTTTTTCTCTCTGGTTACCTTCTGTCATCAAGTGTCATAACATGATACAGTTTTATTGAACTCATGTTATAATATCAGAAGGGTAGGCCTGTAGGGTGATCCCTCTCGTGCCAAATAGTAGCCTTACATTTCCAAGTCTACTTGATGTGTTTGGCTTTTAAAGCACTAGGCACTGATGTTTGTTTTCCTTTTTTTTTGTTGTTTTGAAGGGAACAGTCGAACCAGGCGATGCTAATGGGGCTAACAATGAATGAATGCCAGTGTTGCTATGCTGGTGATGTCATGCTAGCTGCAATCATTGTTTATTTATTGTTAAACACATTAGCATGGTCTGTTAAATTGTCCCTTTTAAAGACTAAGTGGGTGATGGTGGGATAAATACTTTGGCCTCTGGAACATCTGCACAGTGTTTTGCACTTCGTTTACCAAGTTTATTTTGCTCCTCAGCCACAAGAGCAGACATGGCTCTGTGTGTTTTTTCCCTCTTTTGTGAATTAACTGTAACATTTAGGACTTGGCACTTTACTCAGTACAACAACAATTGTATTTGTTGGCTGTGGACACTATGATATCTATGCAGTTTTATCACCAGAGGTGGATTCAGAGCGACAGGATTGGCAACCCAGGTTGCTAGCTACATATGCCTCGTAGTCTTACTTCTGATCGTCCGTTTCATTTTCTTTGATGACCTGTTCTCTGTATCAGCTTTACATTCATGCTGGTCTCTCAGTTATTTTTCTCTGCAGATTCTACTCAAAATGAAAGCACTTTGAAACATGCTAACAGTACTTAGCGTCTAAACCTGAGACTGTTCTCTCAGTAACTACATCTACATCTGGTTTGATTTAATTTAAGACAGTTTACTTCAGGACAGAAATGTGTTTGGCGATGCCTGAATAAAATTCACGTATCCCGTTAGCGTCTGTGTGTGGAGATGTTCTTGTTCTTACATGGACACAGTAACTTATTTGCTGTCACGCTGGTATGCTGCCGTGCCTTGGGGAGAACTTTCAGGAACTTTCCGTTCAGGTTTGACGGCATACAGCCGACATTCCTGTGGTACGTTTTAAGGTTTGTAACTACAAACAGTTGTAGTGTATCAAAGTTTGCCTTTACGGGATCAGTCATATCATTTATGCATTGTATGAATGTTAGTCTCTATGTTTTAATAGTTTTGCACTACAGGATGGCTGTCATAACTTAGTGTTGTGCCCATGTTCTGTCAGTGTTTTCTCACTTTCTGGGTATTTTATCCCAACTGGAATGTTAAACTTCAAAATTTGCTCTTTTTTGTTTCTGTTTCACCAACTGGTACTGACATTATGGAAAACGAGAATATTAGGGGGAAAAAAAAAGTTTTTCCATCATCAGGGTATTTTATGCCAACTTTTAGCCTTCAGAAATGGTTTTTGGGGTGAATTTCAGCCTGTTTTTTGATGTTCTGGGTATTTCGCACCTAATGACTTTGAAATATTTGCTGGACAAACTGGAATTTTAGCCTAGCCTTTTTTCTTTTCATCTTCTGGGTATTTTATCCCATTTTATCCCAACTGTTGTTGGAACATTTTAACAGCAAAAAAAGCTTTTTTTTCATGTTCTGGGTATTTCGTACCAACTTAGCTGGAAAACTGGAATTTTAGCCTAGATTTTAGATATTCTGGGTATTTTATCCATTTTATCCCAGCTGTTTTTGAACTTTTTTGGCTGCAAAAATATTTTTTTGGGGAGAATTTTAGCCTAATACTTTTATGCTCTTGAGTGTTTCCAACTGATTTATCCTACACCACCCGATATTTTATCCCAGCTTGTAAGCATTTAAGTGTGCAAAGTTTTTTGCATAGAAGTGTTTTTTTATTTATTTTCTTCCTCAGCTAAAAACCTCTACCCCTCATAACCACTTTGACACTAACATCTTCAAATGCACCTTGATCTGTGTTACAGAAATGGCGGTGCTCAAGCTGCTGGCTTTCTAGTCCGTCCAGGCTCATGGCTACAGGTCTGCAGGATCAGGCAGGGTATAAATTGCTTCACATGCTGTGTGCCGGCTGGCCTAAGTAGTAGGTGCAGTAAGTGCCAGCCTGTATGAGTGAGGTAGGATTACTCCTGCTGTTGAGTTCACATACCCTTTCAGGAGAGGGAGGGAGCTTCTACTTAGCCACCGAAACTGCTGTGTTTACGCTGTCGCTTACCAATTTTCTGCTCATGTAGTGCTCTCCGGCAAAACCGTGTCAAATATGCACTTGCTACACAATTGAGGCCTGAAGTACCTCAAGCACTTCAAATACTCTGTCGGTTTGAGCACCAATATGATTCTCTGTTTTTCTGTCATCAGCTGACACTTTCACAGGGAATTTTCGTCGTGATTCAGACAGGCAGCCTTTGGGGGCTCCCTTTTATATGAAATTATTTATTTATTTTGGTGCTAATTACAGTGGTTTTTACCAAATTAACGACACAAGTTTTTGTGTATTTATAGAGTGTTAAAGGAATACTCAGTCTGCTGCATCTGTAGCATACGGTCAATTACCATAGGCAATTTTCATGCGTTTCCCTGTCAACAGAAAACCCAGTCTGAACATGCTTATAATAGAAGCCAGTGGGCAGGAGCTGTTTTGGCTGAACAAGTTTTTTCTTCTTTTCTAAGTACATGAAAATTATTGTTCATGGTAATTGACTGTTTGCACATGCAGCAGATAGAGATCAGATTGAAAAATGCTGCCATATTTCTTTGAGGACATCAGTTTGGGGTACTGGAGCTTGGAGTCTTTTCACTGCACAGTTTAGTGTTTTCCATGGTTTTCCTTTTTAAACCATTAGGTGTGTTTGGTTCAAGGTTAACACTGAAATCTGCAGTTCACAGATTCTCCAGCACCAATTGGTGAGCTCTATTTTGGTTAATTATGGCACATTAATTCTTTTTGGGAGTGCAATTCATATTTTCATGCCACAGTTGTATACTGCAAAAAATATTTTGGCAAGAGAAATCCTGAACACAGCATCTTAGATGTAATCAACATGTCTAGTATTTTTCATTATCAGATTGTTTTATGAATATTACCAGATTAATCAACCTGTTGCTAGATGTTTAAACATATAAATTATTTTATTTAGTGGAATTATCTTACACCATTTGCAAATAATTTTGCTTGTGTCCAGAAATAATGCAGGTGATTTTTCTTGTTTTAAAACATTTATGCTTGAAATTTACAATTGAAAATAGAAATAGGTTGAGTCATCTTATAATAGTCTTAGAACAATCTTGCAGTGAGAAACATTCGATAGACTGACTAGACTTCATAATTTCAGTTACCAAGATATTTTCTGCAGTGTATGTGGACTGATGTGGGGCTTTAAAAAGGGCAGGAACTTGGAGAACTTGGCTTGGAGTTTCTTTTGGCATCTGCTTTACACTAGAAAGACTTCCAATAAAGGACTGAGGGATAGTTGTAGCAGCCAGGAGGAATAGTGAAGAGACATGGAGGTAGTTGAGCATAATCTTGTGAGAGAGCTGAGAACACAGTACAATGCAAAGTCCAAGAGACTTTTAGATTGTTTTATTTCCAGTCAAAACTGACATTAAGTAATATTTCAGCATTTAGTGTGTCCACCCTTTATTTTTATTACAGCTTCCATTCTTTTCAGGAGACTTGCTTCCAGTTTTTCAAAGAAATCTGCAGGGATAGTTTCCAGTATACAAATTTAGACTAATAAATCCTTGCTTCATGTCTCAGATGTCCTGTTTTGGTGTTCTAGTGCAAATGTTCTTTTTTTTTTTTTGTCTCTTTTTCTCAGTGATTGCATGAATTTGTTCAATTCCACCACCTGCATCCCTGAATTAATCTTATGAAGCATTAATTCGCAGAATCAGCATTCTGGAAAAGCTTCCTCACTGATAGACACATTTAATTGTATTAAGCTTTATTTGTCTTTAGCATTATGTTTACTAATTGCCATTAAAACTAACTAAATACCTTTGCACAGCATTATATGTAGGATGGATAGGGAGGAGCTTTAGCCATCCTTCTCTCAAACTTCAGTTATTTCATTACTCTGTGTTGTGCTTCTGCCTGTCTGCTTGGTGGTTTTGGCAGAGCCTTGGCTCTCTGACAGGTGTTTACATTAGAGAGAGGGAGAGAGTGTATGCGGTCGGCCGACAGCTGGCTTTATTTGCTCTTGTGTCCTTTTTTCTCTCCAGAGGCCCTTAATATAGTTGATTCTCAGAGGCACAAGTGGCTGTAAGTCTTCCAGGTTCACACAGGCCCATGGACTCAGTTAGAACAGCTTATAGCACATTCAAAAACATTAGAGCAGAACAGGCAGATGTGACAGGGCAGCTATTCTTATTCATGAGTCCATTTGGTTACGTCGCCTCACAACCAGTCATACTGAAGTGAAGCTCTACACTCCATAATAAGAGAAAATGTCTGTGCTGAGCGAACTAATTTGGTACTGGGTTTCCACTCCATAGAGAGGTGGTCACAGGTCTGTGTGTGTGTGTGTAGTGTTGGGCCGATATCAGCAGAAAATACAATATTGAATGTGACAGTGAAAAAAAAAGAATGAATATGATGTAATCCTGTTTGTGTGTGTGCACGCAAGCAAAAGTGTGCACCTAAGCACATTATTTGAAACTGTTTATCTTGGCCAATAAGTGTTTTTGCTTGCAGAATCAGAACAAATGCAAATGAACAAATGTAGTAAAACCTAATTTCTTTTTTCAGAAATGTAACTGAAATCTTGAGCACCTGAATTAAGTACCGTTTAGCCAAACTATGTATTGGATGATAACTACAGTTAATATTGCACTGCCATGACTATTGGATTATTAATATTGGACTGCCAAGTAAAATCACTGCTTATGTTATTAATACTGTTTGAATTAATTTTCTCAGCAAATACACGCTTACTGCCTAGATAACTAGCCTTTTACCCTGTTCTTCTGTGGTCAGGACCCCCATGGACCCTCATAAAGCAGGTAGTATTCATGTGGTGGATCATTCTCAGCACTGCAGTAACACTGATGTGGTGGTGGTGGTGTGTTATTGTGTGTTGTGCTGGTCTGAGTGAATCAGATACAACAGTGCTGCTGGAGTTTTTAAACATTGTGTCCACTCACAGTCCACTCGCAACACACACTAACACACCACCACCACATCGTGCAGTGTTACTGCAGTGCTGAGAACGATCTACCACCCAAATAGTACCTGCTCTGCGAGGGTCCATGGGGGTCCTGACCACTGAAGAACAGGGTAAAAGGGGGCTAACAAAGTATACAGAGAAACAGATGGACTACAGTCTGTAACTGTAGAACTACAAAGTGCACCTATATAGTAAGTGGAGCTGATAAAATGGACAATGAGTGTAGAAACAAGGAGGTGGTCATAATGTTATTCCTTATATAGACTCAAGACTTTTTGCTATACAAATATATACACTCAACCTGCACTCAATGGTAAGATGAAATGGTGAAGCTAATTTAGTGCTGATTTCCATTGCTTTGTGCACTGGGGCTCAGTCATGCTGAAACAGAAAAGGTACTTCCCCCAAATTGTTCCCACAAAGTTGAAAGCATACAATTGTCTAAAATATCTTGGTCTGCTGAAGCATTTAGATGTCCCTTCACTGGAACTAAGGGGCCTGGGTGGCATGACGTTCCATCTGATGCTTGGTACTGTGCTTGGTGATGTAAGGCTTGCTTGCAGCTGCTCACCCATGGGAACCCTTGCTATGAAGCTCCCGGCGCACAGTTTTTGTGCTGATGTGACTCTGCAGTTATTGAGTCAGCAGAGTATTGGCGACATTTGTGTGTTAAATCTACCTGAATTAAGTCATTAAGTAAGTCTTTAATTCACGTTATGGTTTTTTTCCCCCTGCCTCTGAGAAAGGCGCTATATATGTTGCGCACATTTTTTATGCACTATGCTCCTCAGCACTCAACGACCTGCTTTGTAACTTTACACGGTCTGACACTTTGTGGATTGCTCACAAGTTGCTGTGGATGCTAAACGCTTCCACTTTTCAATAATAGCACTCACAGTTGATCATGGAATATCTAAGAGAAAAGAAATTTGGTGAACTAACTTGTTGCAATGGTGGCATCCTATTACAGTACCACGCTTGAATTCAGTGAGCTCTTTTAGAATGACCCATTATTTCACAAACGTTTGTAAACTGCATGGTTGGGTGCTTTATTTTATACAACTGTGGCCATAGGACTGAATAAAACACCTGAATTCGGTGATTAGGAGATGTGTCCCAATACTTTTGTTCATATAATGTATGTATGTGATATATTGTCTTATTTCTCTTTCTTTCACTCCTTTTTCTCTCCTTTCTCTTTCTTCACTCTGTTGTCTGTTGTTTCTCAGGCCGCTTCTAAGAGCTCCTGCTTCATGTTTATTGCAATGAAGCAGAGAGAAAAAAATATCCATGTATCCATGAGAAACCTGATCTTTCAGCATCACTGGCTATTAAAGTAAAAATAGTGTGCAGTGAACGTCAGTGGGGGCGTGTGTGTGTGTGTGTGTGTGTGTGCGTGTGTGTTGTGGTTTGCTCTGGTAGTGATGGCGTTTCCTTGGCTATTTTAGGGCTGCTGTCTGCCCCTGTAAGCCAATACTATACAGTGAGGTCAATGATTAAATGCTTGCGTCTGTATTCTCTTTCACCACACGAGACTGACCTCGAGACTTAACCTACAGAGTGATCATCTGATTGCAAGGTGTCATATTAATTCAACATAAATTACTGACCTATTTATTCCCGTGTCTGTAGCTTTCAATTTATTGGTGGTCTAGAGGGCTGAGAGTGCTGTTAAATGGGAAATGTACTCACTTTATTTTGGTATACTGTGTTTGATAATTAATGAACTTTAATATTTCACATACATTCACTGGCTGCTCTATTGGAAACACCAGCCTTATAGCTCCACCTTGCTGGTGTAGAGTTAGATACCGCAGTTCATCTGTTGATGTACGTTTTCTATTAATGTAGCTTTTCATCAGCGGTCACGTTCACACAGCAGAGTCACTGTTGACCGGTGCTCCATTCTTTGCACAGTAGTGAGAAACAGCAAACAGCAGCTGTGGTCAGAA